TTCTAGATTTTACAGTCTCCTTCAAGCTACGAGAAGTCTTTCACTCTCCACAGATTGACTTTTAAGTCCCTCCCGGCTCCCTAGACACTTGAGCCTCTTTAACTACGATGATCACCTTTAACGGCATCAGGTTTGTAGGCTGATTTCATTGCTTGAAGAAAATCTCCATAGAAAGCCTTACTCTGTTCACCCCCCATTGCAAGATGATAATCCGGTTTATTTCCCTTTAGAACTGCTTGTAGTGTGAACTAAACAGGAAGAAAAAGATACAGAAACCACAAAAATATTTTCGCGGAATGATTTCATACTTTAAATAGGACACCTTCTTAAAAAAAAAAAAGAAAAGCTTATGACTAACTTTTTACCCAAACTTCCCCCCTCCCCCCCCTCCCCCCGTCCACACGAGATACTAAGGACGGGCAAGGGGCATATTACACTTTACCACAACCATACCATCAACAAAAATTTATTAAGTATGTTAATGTACTTGTATGTCTGCATTTGTATGTACATAGTCTCAACACTAACTTTTCAACTTACTAGCGAAGTGGTTAGTGACAACTTAGATGTTAGAACAATCTCAGCTTGTTTAATGGCCAAACTGGTTGGTGAAAATAAAAAACCACTCGCCAAAACTGAATTTCTACTAGTCTGTGGCTAGCTGGCTACCGTTAGAGTCGAGCCCTGATTTATTTGACATTTCATTACCTGCCAATGACACTGAAAACTGCAACAGTTTTTGAAGGGCTCTCATCCTGCTCGATGACTAAGATAATTTCTTCACCACTATTACTCTCACAAGTGAATTACTAATGAAATCTTCAAAGTTAAAGGGTCAACTGAGCTCATAGGGTAAGATTCAAGCATTTAACCCTTTATTTGAAGGATATAAAATACATACTTTCAGCTGAAATAAGCCTGACAAGAAAACGTGGAAACAGAATGAAGCTTGGCTTTAAGACACAAATAGTCCTTTTTACAGTTGTGGGCTTGGTAGTCAAGCCTTTGAACAGGAGTGAGGCTAAGGGTGACCTTGTTATGATAGAGATGTTGTTGCCTTTCAAATGCAAATTTCTTTGTTAACATGCTACCTAGATACAGGTCTCTACCACAACACGGTCACCCTTAGCCTCACTCCTGTTCAAAGGCTTGGTCACCAAGCCCAGAACTGTAAAAAGGACTGTTAGTGCTGCACAATCCTACCAGTATGATACAAAAAATAATTTGATTCTCTCAGATGAATCCAACTCTACACAAATTCCATAGAATTTATCTGTCAATACAGTCAAACCTCGATTATCTGGACTTTTCGATTATCCAGACTTTTACTCTAGTCCCGTTTCTTTCATGATTATTAATGAGCTTTGATCTTCAAAACTTAAAGAGGTAAAAAATTCAGAGATTATGTTCAAAGTCAGGAAAAGTGTGTTTAAAACAGTGCAATACCTCCTCTGCTTTCAAAAGATTGAGCGCTCGGAGAGTCATTGAAGCAGACTTTTAGAATTTAAACTGTGTTATTTTTATTTCTTTTGTTTAATACATTATTGTCTTATCAATATTCCTATTTTCGATTATCCGGACTCTCAATTATCCGGACTGTTTACCTAAGTCTCAATGAGTCAGGATAATCGAGGTTTGACTGTATTGTTCATTAGTCTGTATATTCCAGAGGGCTTGGCTACAGTTAACAATAATATTATTCTTTGAAATTGAAGTGAATAGTGGCTAAATATTTATCGAGCTGCAAAGCGTCGAGGTAAATATTCCCGAAAGCCACTATTCACCGAGATTGCAAAGAATAGTTGTTTTAGTATCTACACACAAAGTGATCTCGACAAAATTAAAAGGAAGCCATTTAAAGACAATTATTTTCTGCTTCTGAAACTTTAGCGAAATGCGAGTTTACGCCCGCTATTTTATTTTTCACATTATCCACTTGCTCGGAGGTGTACATTGTTGATTAGCCCGAAATAGCGAACCAATCAGATTGCTTGAAACGCCAAGATCACTGAGTGTGTATATACTAAGATTTATTATACCCTCTAACTCCAAAGATATTATTGTTAATTTTCCCCTCTACCTGCTACATATTTCCTTGTAAATTAGTTACAATAATTTGGAGTTAGATCAAGATAACTTCTACCTGATAAGTTTTCTGGACAGCGTATGGATATAAAAGGGAGAGGTTACTTGTTTATCACCTCTGGGAGTTCCTGGGTTAAGGCATGTTATAAACATGTTATTCTTTATCTTGCATATCACCAGAATTCAACAGAAAGTGCAACAATTACAATTTATCGCTTATAGAGCGCTATTTGCAATGACAGATCAACAGCACTTTACAAAGTATCATTTAGGTTGTTACAAAAGCTGTAGTGATTAATTTTTTTTTTAATTATTAACTAACTTTTCATTCCAATCTTAAGAAATCACAGTAAATTACTTGGAAAATTATCATGACACAATATTGTAATAGTATGATTATACAAATGGCCAATAGTAAAAGGAAAAACAAAATCAACTTTAAGTTCATGAAAGGGTACCACAAATTGCAAATTTGATGTGAGATCAAGATAACAATTTCTAACTCAGGGTGTAATTGTAGTTTATCCCTCTTACTTAAGTATATTGTAATCCATTTTTGGAGGAGCTAGACTGTGGAATTGCCTGAGGCCTGACCTGCGTAAACTTAGAAAAAAACCTTTCAAAAATAGAATTCATCACTTTTTACTTGTGGTACTTGGTAATGAGGATGATTATGCTGATCATGTCTCTACGTTAATGTTTAAAATTACTAATTATCATGAATTAAACTATTATAGTAGCTATTATTATTAATTTTTTATGTTCTATGTCTTTAATAGGTTCTTGCTCTTCTAGCATAAATCCTAGCTATTTGTGAATATGTGTATACCTATTTCAATTTATTTATTTACCTGATTTTAATATTGATGTATTTTGCTAAGTTTTATTGTAAGTTATACAATCAGCACTGATTAGCGTTGCTACATGTGGGTTGTCTAAATTTATAGATCTGTTAAATTTGTTTGTTATAATTATAATAAACATCGTATCACATCGTATCACATCGTAATGTTTAGCTCACCTGACTCACACACAGTACTTCAAAATTTTTATCCACAACAGACTTCTTCCATCTTTGTTCATTTTCATCAAAGACTCTTAAGTTAAGAATTTTTCTCACCCTTAAAGAGAAAACCACCCAAGCATCATGCAACAGTTTTAGGGAGCATCATTGCATTGTGGTAAAAATAGTGCACCTCTGTTTGATAGACAAATTAACAAGTTTGAAAATCTAACACAAAGTGAATGATGAGAAAAAAATATACTCACATATATTCAATTTCTTTAGGAGTGTCATACTTTGATATTCCAAGTAAAACACAAAGTCCTTTTCCAATGGAACTAATAACTTCACCATCAACTGCAAAATACACAAAATATCATACAGTTTTACTACAAATTGTACTTTTTAAGTAGTCTAAGTACTCAAGGAGTCAAAATGTGTTTGCAGTTCTAAGCTGATAAACAATAAATTCCACCAAATGGTAAACTGTCTTCTCCTTTCCTTGAAAATTAGCAAACAGAATGAAATATTGCATCAATGTAATACAGTCTAGTTTATAATTTTATGTCCTGCTACCACCTGTTTGCTGAATAATATATTCTTAGTGTTAGAATAACAAAGTTAAAAGAGGGACAACTGTGTGATAGAGAAAATGCAGTGTTCCAGGCATTCAGTTAGTAAGAGTGGAGCATTGGAAAGAGAGAGGTTTGGGCCTGGCTTAAAAGAAAGGAGAGATGTTTGGGTTGTGTGTGACCAGACCCAGACCTCCTGCTCTTTTTGCTTGACCACCACTATTAGCTACTGTGCTCTGTTTTACAAACTGGAGGCCTGGAAAAGGCATGGCTGTAACCTCAATCTTTTCAAAAGTTGGCCCCTAGCAATCTAATGTCACGAATTGGTCACCAGAAATAGAACTTAATTGTCAGCTGAAAAGATATTCTAGATACCTAATGCGTAATGGAAACATTTTTCTCACTTCAACTCAATTATGACCATTAAAACTCAAGGGAAAATGCATATTGCAACTAATCACCACTGACAACCAATAACAGATTGCCAAAGTGGCAACTAATGCCTTCAGTTGGTAATTCAGTCACCAATTTTTTTTTTTTTTCTTGCTTAGCAACCAAAATGATGATGGCCTGGAAAATGGATGTGTGCTTCTAATTAGGTTGATGTAATTGGTGTAAATCAAGGTCAGTCTACATTCAGCTAAAAGTTGACCCGGAGCTGATGGTTGTTTGACGATGTCCTGGCAGTCCAGCAACATTTCACTACAATGGGTGGCTGACTACTTGTCGAGTGTCAGTTGACCATCTGCCAAAAGCCCATTTCCAAATTACCCTTGGCCTCATTTTCAAAATGAGTCATGGTGCTCATCCTTTCATATGATTATAAGTTTTCATTCCCATGCAAATTAAACTCATTTTTACAAGAATAGTTGAGCACCAGGCCTCATCTTGAAAAAAGAGGCCAAGGGTAATTCGGAAATGGGCTATTACCACTACAGAGTAAATCAACTGCTGACCTAAATATTGATTAATTATCAACTAAGGTTATTGTCAAGGTGCATGCAATGCATATTGGAAATAACTGATCCCAAATAATAAATAACAATAAATAAAAAATAAGTAATCATAATAAAATAAGAAAAAACAGAGGTTATGTAACTTGCATTATTACACGACTTGGGCAGTCAGAGGGCCAATAACTAAAATCAACCAATCAAAATGCTCTATTGCCAGTCAATATTCTCTCAGTATTGGACCGGGCACTGTCCCGAATGGTCCCGAATGATACTGCTCTTGTGTCCCTTTGAACTTCAGTCTTATAATAAATCTCTTATTAACCAAGCTTGCTCGGGACTGTACTGGAAGAATATCGGCCCTCGATATTTTTTGTACAGACCTCGCTGCCCTCGGTCCGTACTGTCAAGACCTCAGGCCGATATTCTCCCAGTACGGCCCTCGCACTTGGTTAATTAAAGATATATTTATCCCCTGACAAATGGGTAGTTTTTCTAAAATATTTCAAGTCATTAGTCACATCCATGCTATTCTTGGTAAGTGTGGTAAAATGCAGATCATGTGTGCCATAAAAGACTTTATTAAAAACTGGATCATTGGATAATGCAATTCAAGACTTTTTATTGGCTTAGC